CGGGGCGCCGGTGCCCGGCCGCGCGTCGGACCGGTTCGCGGGCGCCGACTCTCGATCGTAAGGCTTTTAACGCCTGGAGCGCAGAGGGCTCGTGTGTCGGTGGGTTTGATGTTCCCCTCCCACGAATGGTCCCAGACAAGTTTCCCGTTCGCTGTCCTGTCGGATCGAGCACCCGCGACAGGTACTTGCACGCGCGCTCGCTCGCGCGGACGCGTCACGAGAACTGTTAGGCTCACGTTAAACGATAGCGGGGCTGTTTAACGCGAACAGCTTCAGCATTTAGGGCCGGTTTGAAAAGAGCCGAGGTGGGAACGTAGGGAAGCGCGTGCTGCAGCTGAAAGTCCTCGTGTGCTGACGTGTATACGTGTCGTCATCTTGTGTACTAACGTGGCTCTTTTTACTTTCCTTCCTGAAGGAATGGAGGGCAGAAAACTCATTTCTGCAACAGACACCCAGTATTCGGGCATGCTGCTGCAGTCGTTGAATGAACAACGCGGCCACGGACTTTTCTGTGACGTTACCGTCATTGTGGAAGACCGGAAGTTTCGAGCCCACAGAAATGTCCTTTCTGCCTCGAGCACGTATTTTCACCAGCTCTTCTCAGTGGCAGGGCAGGTGGTTGAACTGAGCTTTATCAGAGCAGAAATATTTGCAGAAATACTCAACTATATTTACAGCTCTAAGTTAAACCGCATTAGATCCGATCTACTTGATGAGTTGATTAAATCAGGGCAGTTATTAGGAATTAAGTTCATAGCTGATCTGGGTGTACCTCTGTCACAAGTTAAAAGCATATCGGGTAGTGTCAATGTTGGTACTGCAGAAAACTTACCTCCCGGCTCAGATCAAGAGGGTCTTGAAACACAAAAGTCTGTAGCGGCGCACAGGAATCATGATTTGATTGGCGGGATGCCTATCATAACAGAATCCTTTACCTTGCATGGCGAAGAATATGAGACTACAAAAATTACAGTGAGTGATTCAGATGACGAGGACGACGATGTTATCTTTTGCTCGGAGATTGTACCTGCAAAGGAACGTCCTTCAGAGACCAGCGCGGTGACCCAGAATCAGCCTTGCCCAAATCCTGCTGTGGTTCCTGACCAAAAGCCCTGTGGAAGCGGTGCCTCTCCCCCTCTAAATACTATCGCAAGCACTCAAGCGCTAACTTTGCCTGTCAGCCAGCTGACTCCAAACCAAACACAACCTAGCACTGAACCATTCGCGTCCTCGGCCCCAACGCATTTGACTCCTAATGTCATTTTGCTAAATCAGTCTCAACTCAATCCGTCCCCAAGCGTCAGTTCCTTGCATGTGCCTCCTACAATTAACTTGCTTGAGGACAGCCAGCAGCCATCAGTTAATGATTCTTTAACTGAAATGGAAACAACGGCCGTCGAGGAGGAGGAAGAGGAGGAGGATGTGGAAGATGATGACGATATCATTAGTTCGTCTGGCTCAGTCAGTAGCAGCTCTTTGGTTCAGCAGTCTTCTCCCCCAAAAGCTGCTGCATTGGAAGGATCGGGTGTACAGAAAAAACAAGTTGTTTCATTTGCAGAAGAGCCATCTTCCAACTCTGGAGAGTTCAAAATAAAAATCTCAGATGTTCTTACTGAAAACAACAAGGATGCCCCTGCAGGGATAGCACCAAAACCTGTGATGGAAGGTCAGAAGATCATTACTTTAGACACGGCTACTGAAATAGAAGGCTTATCCACAGGTTGCAAGGTGTATGCAAATATTGGCGAGGATACATACGACATAGTCATTCCTGTAAAAGATGATCCTGAGGAAGGGGAAGCCAAGCTTGATGAGATGCCGAGAACATCTGCGGATGATCCCGCAAACAGAAAGCGCATGAAGGTAAAGCATGATGATCACTATGAGCTCATAGTGGATGGAAGGGTTTACTACATTTGCATTGTATGCAAGAGATCCTATGTCTGCCTGACGAGTTTGCGGAGACACTTTAACGTTCATTCCTGGGAGAAGAAATATCCATGTCGATACTGTGAGAAAGTTTTCCCACTTGCAGAATACCGCACAAAGCATGAGATTCACCACACTGGTGAGCGAAGGTACCAGTGCTTGACATGTGGTAAATCTTTCATCAACTATCAGGTTATGGCTTCCCACATGAGATCGGTTCACAGTCAAGATCCTTCTGGAGATGCCAAGCTTTATCGTTTACATCCATGCAGGTCATTGCAGATCAGACAGTATGCATACATTAGTGATCGTACAAGTAGTATACCCGTAATAAATGAGGATGGAATTGTTTATCATGTCGACACGGGAAAGGATGGTGCTGAAGGAACAACCTCTACTCCTCCAGCCAAGCAAATGACCTGGGATGATATTTTCATTCCGCAGGCAAATGATGCGATTTTTAAACAAAATCCCGCGGAGGGTAGTACTGAGTTTGAGTTTATAATACCAGAATCTTACTGAAATGTTCTAAATTATGCAAAAAGCTTCAGTACAGAAAGAGTGCAACTGTTTTTAAATTAACTGCTAAAAATATTGAAAAAAAATTGTTCAAGTGAAAAAGGTGACCTGTTGTACCAAGTCATCAAAAGGTAGTACTTAGATGGATTATTTGTAGCTGCAAAATGGTTTGTAGAAGCAATTTGTCCAAAAGTTTACTTGAATACAGAATAAGACATTTCTGAGGAGCTGTCAATGTTTTTCCTAGTTCATTACTTTTGATCACAAAATGGAAATTTATAGCTTGAGGAGGTACAGTTCCTTTAAAAGGATTACAAATACTCTTATTTGTTTTCTGAAATAACGGGGTATTTACTGTACCGATGTTTAATGTAAACCTTTTCTTTCATGTTAGCACTTTAATGCTGAATTTTGTTTAGACATTAACACCAAGACCATAATAAGATTTTCAGCATAATCTTTTGGATATGGCATAGTTTAAAAAACAAAACAAAAAAACCCTCCCACCACTCGTATATTGACTCTGTGAATAGTGTATTACTGCAGGGGTCCAAAATAGCTGATCCACTAGTTTGGAGACCAGTATGTCTTCAAACCAGCATCTTAGTTTTGTTTTTCAGGTCTGTAGGAAGCAGTTACCTTCAGAAAAATGTTCAGACTGATTAAAAAAAAATGCCCAGTTTGGGCTAAACCAAGTAAGCTTTATTTATATTTGGCAATACAGTAAGCAGAGTATTCAGTGGCTGGACCATTATATTTTATTCTTTTTGCAATGGAGAAAAAAATTCAAAAGACAATATCGGGGGTGGGGGGCATTTAAGAAGAAGATAAAGAAGGCTTGTGCAGCATGTTCTTCAAACCGGGAAGAGTAATGTCAGGCCTTTTTACTACTGAAGAATAAGCAGGTAGTTTGGAATAAGTTGCTGCTTTTCTGTTTTGTTCATTACAGAGAAAGGTTTGGATTAAATATTAAAATAATGTTTATAATACTCTTCCTAGCTGAAGGCTGCAGATTATACTTCCCAAAAAGAGAAATTATGTAAATGATGCCTCATCTCGATAGCTGAGATTTAGAGACTGGCGTAGCTAGATTTAAGCAAAGCAGAAAAGTTGTGATTTTTTTTTTTTTAAATCCAGCAGGAAGGGATACAGTCAAGAGGACTGAAACCACAATCAAGTTTTTTGAAAAAAAAACACACATAGAAACGCAGTAAAATCTTTGTATAATTTCCTTGGCAGAGGCATATTGATGTTTCATTTTCACTTTTAAGTTTATAATGCCTTTTCCCCCCCTTGCAATTGGTACATATTTAGGCACTTAGAAAATAGTTAGTAAAAGTCCAACTTGAACAAGGAATGTTAGATCCGAAAGAAAGCTGATCAGCACAGTCATAGTCTAGCATTTCTGATCTAGTGACTTGTCGAGTCTTTGTAAATGGTAATATGAAAATTACACAGAGGTTTTATAGATGACTGAAAAGGATTGTTGTGCATAGTATTAGTTAGTTATCAGTAATCTTGCATTACATTTCTTACCTAAACTGCAGTTAAGGATTTTTCTTCTCATTTTCATGTTTTTAAGAAAAATACTTCCATGTTCAGACCAACATTTCCTTATCTTATGACCTTCAACCTTAAATTTCCATATATCTGTAATTTTTAACAGACAGATGAATTCTGTTTCAAGGTAAAAGGTTTAACTGTAACTTAAGCTATAATTAAAGGGTACCATAAATCAGTGTTTGTAATAACGGGAAGCAAAAAAAGAGAATTTGTTTACCTTTTTAAGTGAAATACTTGGCCCTTCTGTTTTCTAGGCTGAGCGTATAATGTTGTAGGAATGTTGAAAATCGTATTGTAAACTAAGCATTTTAAAATTGGGATTTAAAATTCAGTTCAAAACTTTGTGCATTTGCAAAATCACAGAATAGTTTGATTTTCGTGTAGATGTTGGTAAACTGCCCTTTGGACAGAAGGGACGTGTTTTTAAATGTTATAGGTTGGATGTTGTTGGAGATGGTATTTCAGCAGTTAAACAGAATCCTCTGACTTATCTAACTGTATGCCACATACAAATTTTGTAGTCCTTTGTCGTAAGAAATAAGGGTATTTTTTTTAACAACATCATGAGACATCTGGAATTATACATACCTTGCAAGATATACATTCAGTAATAATGGAAAATAACAGCTTCAATATTTGCTGCTGAAAAGTTTTTTAATTCTTAAATTTAACTGTGCCTACTACAGGTGTCTTTAGAGGAAAACTGGAAAAATAGGGGTTAAAAGTTGTATTTTTGCTAGAAGACTCGTGTTTGCATGTGTCTCAGGGTCTTCAGTTTTCCTTGGAAGTGATTTTTAATATCCAAAGTCCAGAGGTCATGTAAAATACACTTTTTAATTTCACTTCCAGTATTTATTGGGTTGGAAACATGCTAGACCCCTTCTTTTGACTTTCCGTGGGGCCATAAGCTTTTATATTTAGATTTCTGGCTATTGCACTATAGGACTTTTTTTAAACCTTAGCTTCCAGTTTTACTTCATTCAAAACCTCCAGTAAACATCAAAGAATTGGTTCTCAGCAGAAAATTGGATTTACACTGACTGGTTGAATCTGAAAATGCCTGTAAATAACTAGAATTATAACACTGAGCAGAGATCCTGTAGTAAACTAGATCATTTTCAAAATCATGTATAAAAACACCTGATCTGCTGCAAGATGTAACAACAGTGGCTGAGTCCTTGCTGTATGGTTCCTATGGGAATTTTTACCACAGCATTCCACTATATGAATAAAACAAATGTGGAAATAACAAAATTCATAGATTGCTTATTTATTTTGTACTGTTAAGGCATGCAGCTTATAAAAAGATGCAAAAGCTGACAACTGTACACATTGAACATTGGGTTCTCCAGCTGTTACCTAACTCCTCTGTGTGAAGCATTGTTCATTTTTTTTTACCAATGCTGTAGTGTATATACTTGTACAGCCTTTTCCTTGGCATACTTTTTAAAGTTGTGTTCTACTTTTCATTAACCAATACTTGATATTAGTTCTTAGAGCTTTCTATGGCAAAAATAAAAGGTTTTAATTCTAGAGATGTGTAGAATGGTTCTTTTCAAGGACAGCCACCACTGTGCAGTTTAACACACTTTGGATCCCCTTGTACTCCTACAACCTTTTAACAGTAGCAGCAGGTGCTCACAACTTTTTGGAGCTTAAGTCTTCAATAAGTGAAGTAGCTGAATGTTTTACATTCAGTTTTGTCGCAAGACAGCTGCACAGTCATAATGTATGTTGACCTGTTCTGCATTTTACTTACAACTTACTTCTGCTGGTGTAGAACTTAATATTCTGTTGTATTCGGCTGACACTGCAGCTGACTCGTGGGCGGTGAGTTCATAGTCCTAACTAGCCCGCACTGGTTCTGGTTTGGAGCGTTTAGATCTGTATTTAACCATGATGTTACACTGAACTACTGGTTATTTAGTTGACTCCTGTTTATGGAAGAAAATCCTCAGTTTTGCAGCCCTTTCAGTAATACTTGTGCGAGGAGACCCACTAAACTCGAGGTTATTATTTTGCATGGGTAAGTGCTACTTGGCATAGTAGACATTTGTTCTCTTGGGAAAGAATTTGACGAGAACTTCAACTAATGCAAAACCTCTCAGAAGTAGTCAGGGTTGAAAACAGCAGAAGCATCAGATTTCTTTCCTTTTTTGTGCCCTTGTGACAAGGTATTTAGCAGAACGTGCGGATTCGTTAGACTCTGACAGGCCGAGCAATAGATAAACATCTTAGTGGCACAAGGCTTGAACCTGCTGCTGTTGAGAATAGTGGGAAACCTGCCATAGACAGCAGAGGCAGAATTAGGCCCAGCAGAATGCACGGACTATTACAAATAAAGGGGATGCTGTCTGGATCAGATCATTCATTTTTGTGTTAAATAAAAAGCTGCAGAAATTAAATCTGGCTGATTGGAGTATGCAGGGCCTTGCTTATAGCGTAGCACTTGCCAGAGAGCTCATGCTGAATGTGTGAAAAAGGACTGCAGTTAGTGGAACAACAATGTGGAGGATTCCTTTGTCCGTTTAATGTATGTTACAAAATAATGTCTCGGTGCGCGCATTTACACGAGATGCTGCATTGCCATAGCAACATGCTACGGCGACATAGTGTCGGCAGGCACAAACTGCCACTGCAGCTACGTCGCCGTACCAGTGCGCTCCCTGGCTATAGCACGTTGCTATGGTGACATAGTGGTTAAAAATAACCGTGCGTCGCCAGCACGGCACAGTACGGGCTGTGACTGCGCCGTCATTTAGTACTGCCTTTTGGGAGTACTAAATGGCAGTACAGTAACTGGCGCTGTAGGGGCACGTGTAGACGTGCCCAGTGGGACTCTGGGTGTAAACACTGGGCGTTACAATAGCAAATGGTGCTTTGGCTTTTTTATATGTATTATTTCCAAGTTGACACAAATATTTCCATGTAACACTGGTAAACTGATACTGGGGAACCTTGCCAAAAAGGAAAAAGCAACTCTGTAAACGTTTACAAAATTCACACCGTTTATTTTGGTAAAGTAATAAAAGGTACATATGAGTTATGTCATCTTTACATTCTCATAAGAAATGATGGATACAGTGCATAATACTGCATTTACATTAAATGCTTATACTTTTGCTGACGCAGAAAGAAAACGGGTATTTAAAGCAGAATATCCCAGCGATACCTGAAAATGGAGTTGTCCTTTCATAGTGAATTTAAAGCAGCAATGCAGCTTTTCCTTAAATATTCCTGCACATAATAATTGAAAGATCAGAGGTTCAAGGAAAAGAAAGCCTGGGACGTTTCCTAGGTTTAGTCCTGCTGTCAAAGATAAGACAATTGCTTCCCAAAGATCCTTGTCTGGTAACTGAAGAATTATGCTCTCTGCTGGCTCTGTAATGTGCCTTAGATCTATCCTCTATCATCCCGTTCCTTTTAGCTTTAGTTAGTAGACAGGCACAAAGGATATGCTTTATCTTAGCCAGTTAGAGAGGGGATAGGAACAGTTGCTTTTATTTCAAAGCTCTAGTAGCAAAAGGCTATTGTTTTAAACACTCGGGTAATGTAGCCTTCCAACTTTATTTCTTACCCTCAAGGAGTTGTACCAGGAGTGTCACTGCCTATTTCTCCATTGCACACATTCTCTTTACAAGATGTGATTGGCTGAAACAGGTGCCAGGCTAATTTAAAACTGAAGGAGTATTAGTATGTTAAATTTATTTCTGGACTCCAAACCTGTGGAAGCTGCACTTGAAACAATCCACTTCTATAGCAAAGGTTACTTGCAGATTTTCTGTGCTTGCTGCTGCTTTAAATTCAGTGAGCATCCTGGATATATTACTCCTTTCCCACCCCCTTGGTTTGTGAAAATGGAATATCTTGTTATTGGAGAGAAGTTCTCAGCTGGGCTCGGATAAAAAGTTTAATCTCTTTTTAGCTTATGAGACTAGATTGACTTGTATACAACAGTGGAATGATCAGGTTAAAAACTGCCTTAAATGCTTTGCAAATGTGTAGGATTAAAACAGCATTTTAAAGTGTGATTGTACTCCAGAAAGTGACAGGAAGGAGGGTCACCTTTATCCTTTCTGTCTAACGCAGATTCAGATTTGGTTAGGCCATGGGTAGGAGGCAGCTCTCATCTGAAAGCCAACTATTCTCCCTAGCTTGCGTAACAATTTTCAAACTCTGCCAGCTAAATTTTGCTGACCAGTACATTTTGTCTGCAGCGCTGCTGCTGTTATACAGGTGCCAGTGAGGGCAATATTTAGCCTCCTTGTTAATGCTCTGATGGAGGCAGCAAGAGCTTCCAGCCTTCAGAAATAAAGAGTTTAAAAGAAATGTGGCTTGCTTATAGTTGTACCCGACATAAGCAGAGATGAGGTGATGTGCCAGCTGGGTAACTCTGAACTGAAAGTTGCCATTTGAAGTCACTTCCTGGAGTAAGACCATGCTGTCAGGAGCACTGTGCCACATAACAAAGCTGATCCTTTTTTGTTATGCAGGAGGCATGCAAAATCTGCTTGGAATCTAGATCAATCAGCACAATCATCATTTGAAGACAAGATGAAAGTCACTACAACAACTGCAAATTCTTATCAACTTCATACTAAGATTTTTTTTTTTTTAACATTACATAATGTAGAATTGTATCCATATGAGACTTAACACCTGGAGAGCAATAGTGGAAAGCAATACCCGGCAGCCTGTAATACAGCCACAAATACAGGCTTTGTTCAGGGAGCTGACTCAATCCATTTAAAAAAGTTAAAAGTACGCTCTAAAAAAAATTCCAACCAAAAAGACAAAATAATGTGAGTTTGCTGCGCTGTGTTTCAGTGACTTGCGGATGAGTTTCTGATCCTTTCTATGGCAGAACAGGGAAAATTGCACTTTTCCATTTAGGAGGTATCAGCAGTTGGGTTGTAGATGCATAACTACCCAAACTGCCTAGCTTTAACATCATTCATAGCAGGATCAGAGAGACTAACAACACTTTGTTCAGTATCCTACTGCCTGGCTTCAGAAGCATTTTGAAATAAGCCAGCCTGCCTAGAATGGCTCTAAAAGGCAAGGTCCCAATTTAAGGACTACAGTGCAGCAGATGCTGCAGATTTTTTTTTCCCCATTTGTTTTAGTGTTTTGAGTTAAACTCTCATGCTGTTCTTTGGCTTTTCCCTCGATATGGATGTAGCCTGTAACCAGTAAAAGATGTGCACTGTGACCTACAGCTCAGCAATCTCTCACCTGCAGGAAGCCAAGCAATTATCAAGTGGAGCTGTTTGCAAGCACCTTCACTTTTAGAACAGAAAAGGGGCCAGGGCAACTGTTGCTTCTGGCTAGCTCTACTCCATCCTGGCTCAGTGGAGTATGGCAGACTAGGGTCAATAGTTCAAACCAGGTGGTATGTCCTTATTAAAAATCAATGGCTTTGAAACAGAGGCCTCCATTTAAGTCACCTGTGATTCACTGACACTAGTAAGCATCAGTGTCATAAATCCTTGCCTATCAGACCCATTTGTGAAACCTCAAAAAAATAAGCCTTGCAAGAAGAAACAGGATAAAGAAACTTGATATTTGAAATTATCTTCTGTACTAGATCCCCCACCACCCCCAATAAATATAAAATGTTCACAATTATTTCAAGGGGAAGATTTCTTTTATGGTGTATAAGGTGGTGGCTTTTCAAAAGGTGGAAAGTACGGAGGAGAATAGCGAGGAGGAGCATTGGAAGACCACATGTAGCTTGGAGATGGTGACATCGATTGGGGGTCATCTGAAAGCCCAGAAGGAGTGGAGGCTGGAAACACGCTGGAATGCTGCAGAGCAAAGACAAGACTACTTCTGTCAGTCTCAGTCTTGCAATTACGGACCCACAAGCATTTCTTAAATGTCTGGTACTTAAAGACAGTGACAACGACCTCAAACTCATTTCCTTTACCAAATGGTATGATGAGTCTAATTTTAGGACTCAGTTCTGGAAATGCTTCTGCATATGCTTATCTTTATTCAAATGACTCCTCCCATTGATGTCAATTTAAGTACATGAATACCATGGTGCAAGATAAGTCTTAGCATGTTAAGCACTGAAAAAGTGCTACGTCTAATTTTCTTTTCCTGATTTCTGCCATTTATTTGCTGCATCTTACTGAGCTCACCTGGTTTTGGTGAAGTTGGAAACAGTGCCAAGGAGTTTATGTATGGGGTTCTTGGCTTTTTTATTAAGTGGCCAGGGGGTGGAAATGGGGCGGACAACTCTGTCACGTGACATGACATTTGCACATCTGTCCTAAGTTACCAGATGGCAGCCTTTGAAATTGAAGCTCATCTGAGTTCCTCCTGTTTTGACAAGGGTGTTTTCTTAGTCTAAAAACCACAACTGGCACATGGCCAAAATCAAATTCTGCTTCTGTGCACATGTAAATAGTAGCAACAACAACAACAAAGAGCTCAATGCTGCCAGTTACACAGTTGTGATGTTAGAAAAAAGTTAAATGTATAGCAGACTGCCTGTAAAGTAAAACCCCAAAAGTTATCGGTGGCATCAAGGCACTATAAAGGCAGCTGCAATACCTCATTCCTTTACTCCTGCGCTTCCATGAACTCTCATTTCCTAAGCTGACCTGTGCAGTAAGATGCATCCCAAAGACCCACTTCTAAGGTGATACCTGTAAAGGACTGGGTTTGGCATCGTAACACAATTACTAGGACATAATGAGTTACTGCTCTAACTTCCCTGTTGTTTGTCTGTTATAACGTGAGCATCTGGGGCAGGACTGTGCTACCTTGTATGCCTGGAAAGTACCCAGTATACTGTAGGCACTGCCAAAGACATAATAACGGTGAGGCTGCTTGTCATAGCAAAGGCTGCACTGTCTTGCAAAGGAAATTACTGTGAGAGCGTGCCAACTCGCTGAGATGGAGCTGCACATTACAGTGAGGTGGGGGACGATGGGAAGTGAAGGTAGGATTTAGCACTGCCAGGGAGATCTCCATGCGGGGGGGGTTATTTTCGTTGCTGTAGCAGCCCTCCAGGACCAAGACATTTGTTTCATGATGTCTCATTTTCCCAATATATGTTCCAGTTTATCATACAGGAATCTCAAGCAAGCTCAGATGCCCTGGGAGTCTATTCCTTATCACGTTTTGATGGCACAATGGCTTTCCCCTTTGGCCAAGTTTCAGCTGGTGGAACGCCCCAAACGTGGAGCTCTCTGGAGTGACTTTGCTGCAGCAGGCGTTGCTGTGACAGGGCTGGAGAACACAGCTCCAGCTTGTGAGCATTACAAAGCATCTGTGCTGCTGCCTAGCAACAGCCACGAGCCTTTGAGGAGACCTGGCTTTGTTGCAGCTGCAGAGCAGGCTTGACTTGTTTTGGCTCCAGACAGCAGTCTGATGTTGTTAATGAACCGGGCCACTGAAAAGGCTGCGCTTTCGCAAGGGTGGAATCAAAGGCAATAAAGAGGCGGAACAGGCCACTGCTGGGATGAAATGAACCACTTGTCTGGTCTGTGTGGTGGTGTCAGCTCTTGGCCTGGCTCGCTATCTGCAGCAGTCAAAATGCCATAGGAATGAAATTTCTCTCACTGATCGATCTCTGCCCCCAGCCTTCCCTGTGTGCCAAGGGACTGGATCGTGGACAGCAAGGGCTGCTGTTTTAATGAGAGCTCTTTCTTGCTTCCATTCCTGTCTGCACATCCTACCTTTGCCCTTGAAAATGGCTTGTCAAGAGGGCTGGAGCGTCGTTGACCAGGGAAATGCACCTGGCTCCAACTTGGCAGGAAACCACCCCAGACCAACACCAAGCGGAGCATACGACAAGGTGATAAGGAGCCAGCTCAGCTGCTGTAGCATGCCCAGTGCTGGACATCCCACTTCCCTGCTCCACTATGAACACGGGGGTTCTTGGTTTTCTGGGACAGATGAACAGAACAACCGTCCAGAGCTATGTGGCAAGATTTGCTCTGCCAAAGATGCATCCCCTTCACAAGAGATTTTGGAGGAGAGGCCTGTTCCATTTACATGGAAGAAGATGCAGAGAAATGCTATGGGGCACTGAGGCTGCTGTCATGGGGTGAGGATGACTTGCACGGAAGGAGAGGCCTGAGCCATTTGACACCTGAGAGAACACCGACTCGTGGGAGTCAGCAGGATTGCGAACCCAAGAGTGCACGCATCACTGCTGAAATGAAGCACGGGGTATGCCCACATGGCACCAGAAGCAGTCCAGTTTTACCCCTGCTAACTAGAAGCAAGGTGACAGAGCCTGTGCTGAGCTCTGTGCTCCAGTGGCCAGACTGCTCTGGTATCCAGCCCCACTCATTGCTGCCTCCTTAGCACCGCAGTCACTCCTGTGACCGTCCCAGGCCCCCAGCACTCCGGGCTCTCACCTTGTGCTTACAGCAGTTCAGCGCCTCAGGGGGTTCTTCTCAGCTGTGTGTGTTTGGGTAAACATCTGGGAAGAAATTATTCCCAGGTGAGCATCTTTATACTCACCTTGAATAAGGAACTGAATAAGCTGAATAAGGAACTGATGGACCTCATTAAGCTCAAAAGAGTAGCCTACCCCAGCTGGAAAACAGGAAATGTTATCAAAGAGGATTGCTCTGCACTCACCCGCACCTGCAGAGAGCGGTCGAGAAAAGCCAAGGCACAAACCGAATTATGCTATGGGGATCAAGGACAACAAAAAGTCCTTTAGATATGTGGGAAGTAGGAAAAAGAATAGGGACAGTATTGGGCCCCTGAGAGATTCAACGGGGCAACTGACACCACATGTCCAAGGAAGGGCCAATCTCCTAAATGACTTTTTCGCATCAGTTTTTCACCCTCCCACAAGGATCACGCTGCCAGGAATGGCACAAACCAATCTGGGAGTGGGTGACGGGCCCAAAATTGATGTGGATCAGGTAAAGGAACACCTTGAGAAACGACATTCACAAGTCCGCGGGCCCAGATGGAATGCACCCGAGGGTCTTGAAAGAGCTGGCAGACATCACTGCATCCCCCTTGGCAGGGATATTTGAAAAATCGTGGCGCTCAAGCAAGGTCCCGGATGACTGGAAAAGAGCCAGCATGGTCCCTATCTACAAGAAAGGAAGGAGGGATGAGCCGGGGAACTATAAACCAATCAGTCTGACATCCGTCCCTGGAAAAGTTCTGGAGAAAATTGTCAAGGGATTCATCAATGCCAGACTAACATAAGGCAAGCTTCTGAATGCCAGCCAACATGGCTTTGTGACTGGCAGGTCTTACCTGACCAACCTCGTCTCCTTCTATGACGAGGTAACATATGCTGTGGACAAGGGAGATGATGTAGGTGTCATTTATCTGGACTTCAAGAAGGCCTTTGACCTAGTTCCCCATGATGTCTTTATGGTTAAACTGGGGAACTGTGGCCTAGATCATCACATGGCTAGGCAACTGGCTACGGGGTTGGACCCAGTTGAAGGGAGTAAATCAACGTGGTGCAGTGTTACCAGTGGAGTCCCTCAGGGCTCGGTACTCGGGGCAGTACTCTTTAACATTTTCATCAACCATCTAGATTCAGGAGTCAGATGTATTATGGGGGAGAGCTGTCACACCGCAGGACAGACTGGGAATACAGGCTGACTTGGACACACTCTCAAGGTGGGCTAACCGAAACCGGATGGCCTTTAATACAGAGAAGTGCAAGGTGCTGCACCTTGGTTGGAAGAACCCTCAGCATATTTATAGGCTTGGCCGTGCTATGCTTGCTAGCACCACGACCGAAAGGGACTTGGGGATCTTGACTGACTACAAGATGAATGTGAGCCACCAATGTGATGTGGTGAGCAAAGCTAACCAAACTCTGGTGTGCATCCACCAATGCATCTCAAGCAAAACCAGGGAAGTCATCCTCCCACTTTACTCGGCACTGGTAAAACCGTAGCTGGAATACTGCGTCCAGTATTGGGCCCCCCACTTCAGGAGGTGGAGACAAATGAGAGTCCAGAGGAGAGCCACTCGTATGATCCAAGGCCTGGAGGGAAGGCTGTACAAGGAGGGTCTGAAGGACTTGGGACTCTTCAGTCTGGAGAAGAGAAGACTCAAGGAGGACTTGGTTGCAGCCTGCAACTTCATAAGATGGGTACATCAGAGCTATCCAAGCGATAACAAGGTCTAACAGCCATAAACTCCAGGAAGGCTGATTTAGACTGGATATTAGAAAAAGTTCTTTATGGTTTGTGTGTCCAAGGTCTGGAACAAACTCCCCCCAGAGGTGGTGCAAGCACCTACTCTGGATTCCTTCAAAAAACAGCTGGATGTATTTCTTGCTGGGGTCACTTGCTCCCAGCTGACTTCCCACCTATGGCAGAAGGGCTGGACCTGATGACCTCTTGAGGTCCCTTCCAGCCTCTAATGTCTATGAAATCTATACCTGTGTAACTGGTCACTGAGGAGGTTGCATCCATTTGGTGAACTTGGTACAAAAGTAGGGTAGAGACACAAGTCCAAATTCCTGAGCCTGGGGATAAAACCATCTCTTAAAATCACCCCCATGCCCATGGTCTTCATTACAGGGCTTTCAGGGACATAAGGGCTGATGGCTCCACCTACAACGCTGAATAAAAGGGAGTGTTTCATAGGTGCTATGCAGTTGTTTCTTAAAGTGAACAGGAAAAGAGAGAAAACAAGGAAGGGAAAGATTCTATTTTGCATCTAGCAGTGAGCCCCTGCTGCAGTCTGGAAAACCTCCAAAAGGATCTTCTGGCCATTGCGAAAGAATCGGTTTCAGTCAGGCTGAACGCTGGGTTTAACTGATCTTGTTGGGTTTCTGTCAGAGCTGGAATGCTTCTCTGAGCCCATGTTCCCAAACAGCAGCATCTGCCCTCTGGGGAGGGAGCACACTCAGGACTAGATATGTGCTAGCCTTTCCATTATTCTCCAAGCTTTCATTCAGTGGAGAAGCAGGCTGTTACCCATTCTCATTCACACAGGACTAATCAACATAGCAGTGGTTCTCAAATTTTGTGATACTGCGACCCCGAGTGCTGGATGACGGCAGCAGGAGACTGGGAACTTGCACACAGTAGCCACCACTGCCATCCACCACTGTGCGCCGCTTCCCTGCACCGCCGCACGTACCCCCCGGGGAAGTTTGCGGCCCCCTTTTAAGTTGCTCGCAACCCCCCAGAGGGTTGCGACCCACAGTTTGAGAACCCCTGCAATATAGCAATGTTTGCCCGAGTGTGCAGGGAGCCTGTAAGAACACAGGTGTGAACTGTTTCATCTGTGTCACTGGATTCCCTCACACCAGCCCTTGAGGAGACTTCAAATGTCAGTACTACCAACTGGTTCATTGTGCAAGAAGGATTTGCACAGCCTCTCCTGGCTGACTTCTCAGTCTGGCCTTTTGCAGCCAATGGCAGGAGGCAGAGTTTGTGACCACTTCCATGAAGGGTTGGGAAGGGGCTGCCCTCAGTAACTGGGGAACCACTGAGCGATACGTGCATGTAGGGGACGCTGGCAAGGGGCAGGCTTGCAAGGAAGCAATAGTGCCCCTGTGGGAGAAGAGGAAGGGACTGTGGTAGATCCTTTAGGAAAGCCAGACTTTCACAGTCCCACAGGCTGGCATAGTTTACATACTTGTTTCAACTCGCCTGGTTTAAGCCTCAGGAACAAAACACCACTCTGTCTTGCACCGTACCTGAAAGTCATACGCCGAGTACGGGGGGAGGTGCGGAGTGCTGTGGTAGTAGGTGTTGTAAGAAGTCACCTGTGGCCTTGAGTAATACGATACTGATGGATGCACATTTTCAACCGTACAGTTCAGCGCAGGGAGGGAGGGAGTCTGTGGAAATAAAGATACAATTTCACACAAAGGCTAGCTAGCATCTCCCTGCAGATCATCTGCATGACAGAAACGATTAGAAGGAGCAGCATTTGACTTGAGAGCACCATTCTGGTGAACTAGCAACTTTCAATCTCATCCTGTGCTTGTTCTAACCTCATGTCATTATCTAGCTATTTAACATTTCCTTTAAGGTTCCCAGAAGAAACCCAGCTAAAGCCAAGTCTGTGCAAGCACTAAAGTGACCTGAGTTTACAAAATGGCTTCACAAGGGGGAAACAGAAATGGGTAAAACTGTGTTATCTGATTAAGCTGATCTCAGTTGCTGTAGCGCACTGAAACGCACTGGAGATTACAATCCCTCCTTCCTACATAGTTCAGAGCTGGTCTGTACCTCCCTTTCTACAGTTTAGAGCAGCAATTCTTCCTTTTTTAGACTCAAGACACCCTTGATAGACTTGAGGTACCTCTTAGACTCAAGGCATCTGTCAGAAAATGCCAGCTCTTGGTTTTCATTCGTTTTTTGACCACAGAAAATACTAAAGCAGTTCTTCTGTTGCAAAGAACGCAGAAAGCCCAGAACAGGACAGAATGATTTCGACTCTTTGGATTCCTATTGGAAACCTCTGGGTTTATCTTGTGAATTGTGTTTGTACACCTAGCAGTGCTAATATTCTGTGGCACTCCACAGCACCCTTGAAAGTACCCTGCTTAAGAATCACTGGTTTAGAGTCTGCATGGTGCAACTGGAGACCGCAGCATGTATCTGTGTACGACTTGGAAGCCAAGTCCCGCACTTCATATTTGACACCATTTGCTTGTATTTTGTTTGGGAGGCTGGGGTTGGTTTTGGACGGGGTGTAGGAAAGTTTGTTATTCTGAAATCAGATTGGTTTTGGAAAGGGTGTAGGAAAGTTTGTTATTCTGAAATCAGGCACATGGTAAAGGGCCTGAAATTAGCTCTGCAAGGAAAAATGTCAGCTGGAGGAACAAATTGCCTTACACCCGGTAGTCTGAATATGCCACAAAAGACAAGTGCATATACACATTTACTTGCATGGATAATCACCTTGTTGAACTGAACATCAGCTTGCCCTCTATGAAATGTGGTTATTGTTTAGACTATAACTAGGTAGCTTTTGACTGACCTTATGTATATCATAGCACAACCTATTCAAGCCTACTGAAGTTCCACTTATTGTCAGAACGGCATTTCCATCATCATCCAAGGCCCAAATTATCTCTGGTTTCAGCCTGAAATGGACTTCTTCTGCGGTTTTGCACAATGTAGAAACCAGAGGGGGAGTTTCTGCTGAACTGGACCAGAAACATTCTGTAAGACTGAGAATGTACTATCACTAGAATACTGCACAGTTCATAAAACAAAAAGGCACCTACCGACACTTCCTGTTAAGGGGGTAATGCAAAGAAACATTCAGTCTTAAAAAGGAAACTCAGTGATGTTAGTGTCCGCAGCAGTTAAAACCAAGAGGGTTTTAAAACTGCCGTCTTCCATTCCCCCGCACGCTGACTTGTCACCCTATGGTAATTCAATCTGCTTCCACCACACCAGATAAGCCCAAATCAGTTTCACTTTCTGCTTTTGGTTATTTCATCTCTGCCTGCTCTGCTTGAAGACAATGGTGCATAGACCAGATTCAAACAGGGCTGTTAAACAACTGTCTCTGTGCTGAAATACCATTGCTAGTAAGCCCTTCTTTCCTTCCTTAGAAACCCCTGAATCTTGGACTCAAATTCACCTGGTCGCACTCCTTCAGTTTCCCCAGGAAATCCGCACCACCTTACCATGTCTTTAAAGCCTCCAAGGATTGCAGCTGTGATGATCCCCAGGAATAACCCCACAATGTTCAAAATTGTTGCTGACCACAGCAAGTGGTAGAGGTGAATAATATCCTGGCAGCTGCTGACATCAATATATTCATAGTAGCCACCCGAAATTTCTACTCTGCTGGATTAGAAAAGAATCTTAAAACTGTATAATACAATCTGACAAACCCACCTGGATTAGAGCCCACCCCTGCAGTGTACCAGGCATCCAGACCCAGCTTCTGTGGGATGTTTGCTGGGATGCAGCCAGCAGAGCCAGGCCTGTCATGCTATTACTTGAATTTCACATCTCCCTACACCCACAGGTTCCTCTTGACTTCATTGTGAAGCAAACACATCTGCAAATCCTCCACATGCAAAAATGCCAATGAAGCCCTTATGGGCTGGAAGCTGCAGTTTCAGAGCTACAAGTTGCCCCAAGTTATTCTGCCCCACATCCTCCATTTAGCACTGGACCCCTTCCAGCCAGAATAGGAGATAATTAAGCAGGGCTCTTGTCTTTACACTGGCTCCTTTCATCACAGGAGCTCAAAGCATGTTACCCATTTTAAATCTCTGGACCCCACTGAGGTAGAGAAGTACTACTGCAACATCAGGCAGATGGATAAACAGGTAGAGAGGTCAAGTAGCTTGTTCAAATCCACCTGGAATCAGAGCTGGGACCAGAACCCTGGCATCACTCCAGCAAAGATTGTAAAAGGTTGATCCTCACTGTACAGTATGATCTATACAGTCACTAGCAGG